GGCTGTGTTTAAAAAAATCAAACGGATGGATAACTCATGGCTTGCTTGTTAACTTGACCTTAACACAACTTGAGAGGAGGGTTGATATAACTATTGTTGGCTTCTCCCCAAGACCAAAACAACTCAAAGCGGAATCGAATGCAGGGTGGGCGCCTCGACAAATGAACTGGTTTATTGAGGCCAAGATTTTGACTTTTCTTCAAGGCCAGGGCTATAACACTCAATTAAAGTAACCATAAAAACCGGAGAACACGTAATATTCTATTTTGCAGGCAAGTATTATATATGTTAAATAAATTAGTATCACAACTGCCATACCTCAACATGTAATCAATTGGTTTGCCAACATACTCAAGGGCAAACTCTCGAAGTGACTCGCTGGCTGATTTTCCAAACTTTCCCCGCCATTCACTCAGTTGATCATCTTTCATGTTCGAGATAAAATCTTTGGCAAGGAAAGGCTTTATGAATGACGCTTCGTAGATTCCTGTCAAGAAATGTAAGGTTATAGCACATAAACATCAACAACGCTAAAAACGCACGACTTTCAGGCATCTTCGAAGGATTTCGAAATGGGTTTATTTGTTGGAGCCAGAAATGGCAACTTTATATCTTTGTGTTAACAATTGAGGGATTATTGTGATTTGGGGTGTGTAATGGTGTCCATTCGCGGAAAATAGAGCCCTATAGGACCTTTAAAGGTTGCGGTTGAGATGAAGAGCAAAGAAATACACCGATGAAGCCCACTACTAGCCGCACACAGGGATTTTCAATTTCCTGCATCTATCATCCTTATAATATTTGGCCTAATTATGCGCCTTGCCTTTTCTTGTTTGGTATCTTAAGATGCATTTGATTCCTACTGAGTGAAAACTGACTTTATTTAAGACTGCGCTATCTAGCGCGCGCTTCACAAATTGCAAGCTAGCTGCAGATCTGACAAGCTGTTTTGGAAAAATTAAAAACTTTTATATCCTGCCAGTCAACACTCTTGTCAAGCTCCTGTGACTGAATAACCTGCAACGGTGAATTTTAACTGCACAGCAATAGATTATGGAACTGCGTAAACAGCAAGAGATCAAAGATTGCCACCCGTTACCGGTCTCTTGTAATTTTGCAGCCAATAACAGGACAGCGAATATTGTTGGCAGTACCGTAAACGGATAACGTTTGGAATCCTAAATTGTCATGCGCAAGTTTTCAAACTTGTCAAATAACAATTTTCTTTAATTTTTCCTGGTTTAAGACAGCGGCTGATCAAACGATCCGGCAGTTGCTAGCAGAAGTTCGCTTTCTTCTTTCATCGAACAAAAAGAGGAGGCAGCCTCTGTCTCACAGGGCGGCTGCATGTGCTCCCAACATCTTTCTTTGCTCAAAACCTTAAAGACACAACGCAACGGTTGCGTATTTCCTTCAAAGGGAAAAAAGACTTAATTTGGTAAGCGTTTTAGAAAAAAAAAAAAACATTTTAAGAGTCAAAACAACCATTGAACTTCATTTAACACTTCGATGCTTGTGTTTGGAAGGTTCGGGAACAGCGTCAAACTTTAGCGGGCTGTACTGTAAATACTGCCCGTTAAATTTACGTATACCAGGCATAGCGCGTATTAAATAAATAACTCTGGGATATAAAAAAGAAAATGACAGTACTGTGGCCGGTTAATCTGTTTTTATCACATATTCATTGAAGCAAACATAATTAATTCAAAACTAAAAACAATTTCATTAGATTTGAATTCCGCGACTCTGCCTTTGTTTGAGTGAACATCATAGACAGAGTGCCTTTGTCTCAGATAATTTGCACGCGCGCTGAAGCGTAAATCGTAAAAGTGTTTTGTAACAACAATCGTGTTTTGCATTACCGTTTGCAAGACATTGTAACGATCAAACATGACATGACGCTGTAATGAAACAGCTGGATTGAATTAGTCCAGCCATAGTTAACGTTCCAGCGCAGTTGCAATTCCATACCTTTATTTCATAGCAACACTAAGGGTCCTTGGGAATCTTCAAACAAAACAAAAAACCTTAAAACGGTTTTTGTTTTGCTTGTCATTTGAATAATTTCTTACCCGTTGGACCATTAACAGCCACATCTCTGTACTTGTTTTTCAATCCATCTAGCCCCGCTTTACACTCCTCTGTTGTGCGTACCATCCCAGCAGCCACGCCTAACTTCATGTTTTCCACGAACTGAACAAAAGTGTGGTTGAGTTCTTTGAATTTAGCTTTAAGTGTCTCCATTTCACTGACCGTCGACGGCTTAAAATGCTTGAATGCTGGCTGCACTTCAGTTGGCACCATACAAATCGGATTCCAACAGAAGATGTCGGCTCCCATCATCCAATCCCCAACATAATAGTCGTATGAATACGGCACCATGAAAGGGAAGCTATGTTTAGCCCAGTGAAGCAGTTGAGCTACAGCTCGTTTCTCTCTCAGTGTCAGCTTGTTCATGTCAACTGGCATTTTCTCAATATCTTTGACAATTTTTGCCGATTCATCAGCGATCAGTTTAATACGCTCAGGCGTTGGATCGTAAGAGTGGTATTTGTTCTTGACCTCAGCTGGTGTAACACCGGGTTTGCTTGCAATCTTGTTCGGATTCAATTCGTAATACTTGTTCTGTGCTCTTTCTAAAAAGTCATCGAGTTTAACTCGCTTAGCTTCCTCTGAATAGTCGCAGCTGGCGCCTTGAGGTTCTGCCTTGGAGTCATCACCTTTTCTCCTAGCCTCGGCGATGAGTGCAATTCCAACGAAGAAGAAAACCAAACATGCAATGCCAAGGAAAACGAAGAGAGCTATAAGGCAGCGTGTTTTTCTCTTCTTGCGAGATGACTTATTAGCTGGTTTATAGCTGTAATCCATGTTTGCGTAGTGAAATTATGTAAATTGACGGCAATAACATGGAGAGATCAACAAATTATCCCTTTATTATAATGGTGCCACCGCAGGTGGTCTACGCGAATGTTGATTCAATAGCGGCTTTGATGTTACGTAACGATTAAAATAGACTGTTTTTATAGATTAAACGAGTCTGAAATTTAGTACCTGTACCAAGTTCTCCTCCGCATTAGTTTTTTGGGATGTCACGCAACGCTTCCCCTAAAGAAAAAGGAAAGGCTGAGGAGGAGACTAAGTACTACCCTAATGATTCGATTTAGCGCCCTCCTTCCGATAAGCGCTCTCCCTAACCCCTCTCGAAAAACAAGGAGGGCTTAATAGAAATTTGTTTTCTCCCGGGAGCTAGCCAAGTATAAGTTCATCCTGATAATTTATTTCGCACTCGTTTTAAACTTGACCATGGAATTGAGCACGCCATGGCAGAGCCATATAAATCGCAGCAGACTAGCTTTTACGGCTTTCTAAACTTTTTTTTATTCTTTTCATTAGCAACGTCACATGAAAATGTCTTTTTTTTCTATGCAGTTAATACGTTTTAGACTTAGATGGAGTCTGCAAAAAGCGCATGTCTGATACGTGTTCGGTCGTTTGAATTGAACTCATTTGGTAAGTGCCGAACTCGGATTTTATAACGAGTGTCTCGGCATTTTGCCTTCTCTGGGTTTTCACGTTCGACATGCTCCTAATTCCGTTTTAAAATTTTTTTTTCTAGCCATTAGTAGGAATGGCTTAATGGTTATCCCTTTAGACTTTGGGTAAAACGGTGTTGATGGACAAGATGCTTTTAAACCCTTTAAGTGTCTCCAACGGCGAACGATTAGGGACTTCTGGGAAAGGATGTCAGGGTTTACAGTAACCGGAGAGGACTGG